GCCGACCACAGTGCAAGCGCGGTCTAAGGCATGATCTGACTTCGCTCGCTCAAACTCTGGGATCGTGGGTTCAAACATTACTCAAGGCATGGATGTCTGTGTTTAGTCTGTGTTTGTACAGATAGGGGCCTTGCGACTGGCCGATCCCCTGTCCAAGGAGTCCTACTGACTATCTAAGGAACTGAAGTGACACAAAGCGTTTCACGGATGCCTCATGCTCAAAGTAGGTGCAACAGAAAGAGAGAGAGAGGTAAAGAGGGTAAAGTTGTCCTTGTGCTTTAACTAATGAACGTCATGAAGGCATATGGGCCCTTGTATACATAGATTCACATTTTCTTGACCTCGGCACTAGCTGGAGGTCAGTGGTCAGCTTCACGCCCCGGCTGCTTTACCCCCTAGGAAATAGTTCTCGGAAAAGGAAAAGTTGAGCCCTTCTTGAGGAGCCGCCAATTCTGCAGCTACTCAAGAATTTCTCACCATATTATGAAACCCGAAGGTTCATTACCGTGTTCACAAGAGCCCTCCACTCTTCATATCCTGAGCCAAATAAATCCAATCCATACCATTCCATCATATTTCTCTAAGATTCATTTTAATATTGTCACCCACCTACGCTTTGGTCTTCCCAGTGGTCTCTTTCCTTCTGGCTTTCTCACCAATATCCTATATGCATTTCTCTTCTTCCCCATTCGTACTACATGCCCTGCCCACCTCATCCTCCTTGATTTGATCATTCTAGAGAAGAGTTCAAGTTATGAGTTTCCTCTTTATGTAGTTTTCTCAAACCATGTAGCATAATTTATTTATTTTCACCAGATGTCAGCATAAGGCTAGCAATGTCAAAATAGCAACGCGGTGGATAGCAAAGACATAAGCTCCTTAGTATGTAGCTCGGAGAATGAATCACAAAGCAGTCCGTAAGTATCAGTGTCACGCGCATTCGTTTTGAATACGTAAGTTTTCCGTCAAAACTTGAATGATGGGGGAAGATATCGTGTGAGTGACGTCATCGACAGTGAGACGTCAGTTGCAGGAATGTGTTCCCAATAAATAATATACAAAATCAGCTCCTATCGCAAACTCCAAGACCAGAAGTTGACAGACTTCTCGTTGAAGAGCCAAGTGAGATGTCTCCTTTTGGGCTGGAAAGAGATCCTATTTTTTCCGAAATGTAAATAAGCACTTTCAAACAATTTCTAAATTACTATAAACCGATAACTGTGTAAATTATACGATTCCTTATTAGTACTCACCAAATTAATGCGACAGATGTTACTGCTTGTAAATTAAAACAAATGTTTTAGATGTAACAATGCGACCGCATCTGTGGGCTAGTGGTCAGAGTTCCTGGCTACAGATCCAGAGGTCCCGTGTTAGATTTCCGGCGCTACCAGATTTTCTGAGAAGTAGTGAGTCTGGAACGCGGTCCACTCAGCCTCGTGAGGATAATTGAGGAGCTACTTGAATAGAAAAGTAGCGGCTCCGGTCTATAAAACCGAGATTAACGACCATGGGAATACGTTGCACTCACCACGCGACACTCTCTATCCGCAAAAGTTGGCACTAACTTCGTCGACAAGCGGCGTTCGCTCTGTCGGTATAGTTCGCTTGCGGACTACAGGACATGGAGTTTAGTTTTAGTTGTTTAAGATGCAGCAATGCGCAATGCTGCAGGAAAATCTGCACATCTTTGCATTGAAATTTGACCTGATCAGCTTCAATACAGAAAATGTCTCTTCACAGACGCAGGAAGTGGTAACATCGCGTTTAGAGACTGCTATATTACAGATCATATGACAGCAATGATGGCGGCACAATTCGCGGGAAGTGGCGCTTCCTTCAGTTCTTTATGACTCTACAGGTGGAAGAGTTTCAGTCGAAAACTATATGATGTATTTCAATCATCACGGAGAGAGGTCAATCAACAATTTAATTTCATTTTTTTTAATGTTATATTTTAGCGTCCTGTTGCACTGATTTATGTCCATGATTTATTCTGACCGTCTTACAGTGTGTCTTACAGTCACCTTACTCTTCTCTCCTTAACTACATGTTTCGGCACTAAAGTGCCATCTTCAGGTGCTTTTCGATGTACGTCGAACTACTTCATTGCATGCCCTGTTGTCTTTATAACTAAAATATATGTTCGTCATATATATTGCTAAATTTTAAACATTAAAAATATTAAAACTGTTCAGGATTTGTCATCCTTATGTCGTATCTCAATACGCGAGTCACACCTATCTTCTTCTGTCGGAGGATTCTTCCTACTTTCATGTGTATCTGTAACGTGAAATTGTTATTCATTAATACCGCGTTCTGAATTTTATTTGTTACGTGTGGTATTATAATGTTTAATACTCACTGTGCTTTGTGTTGTGTCTTACTCCTGTGACTGCGTGTGCCATTTTTTTACTTTCCTGAAATCTTTAAGTCGTCTACAAAACACTTATTACTACACATTACACTACAATATTACTACACTAGAACTCGAACGCGTTCTTAGTAGAGCCAGAAAACGTGTTAATTTCCATAAATTTTTCGAAAATAAAATAAGTATTTTCTTAAAGTTAGAAACTGCTTATATCACTCGCGTATAAGGAAATTTTTCCCTAAAGAATCTCATTTCATTGTTAAGATAATACAAAATGTCAACCAGGAAAACCAAGTTATTTTTACAACTTTCAATCAGGCGATCTTTATGTCTTTACATTTCATGTATAAGTACAAACAGACAAACAAACAATTAGCTTATTGGGGGGGGGGGGG